TCTCGTTCAGTCCTCCCCATGGCTCGACAGCTTCCCGTGTCTCCTTCAGTCCTCCCCATGGCTGGACTGCTTCCCGTGTTTCCTTCAGTCCTACCAATGGCTCCACTTTTTTCATTGCCTGTCTCTCCGCTTTTATTACCGCAATACCAGGCCAGGGCCTTGCAACTGATTGTTTTGTCGCGACCGTTGGCTCTTTTGCGACATCTTTCCTTCTTTCCTCTTGCTTTTGGTCGATCAGAGTCGACAGAGAAAATGAAATGGACTGAAATTGATCTTTGATTTTCTCTGTCAGTTCATTCTTCATTCTTGCACTTGTAACTTTCATTTCGACCGTTATATTCTGAACAGCTTTGTTGACTATTTCCAGAACTTCGTTCATGATGACATTTTCCATTTTTTTCATCCCTTCTTTCATTTCACTTTTTATTTCATTCTGGCAAGCCGAAATCTCAGCTTTCATTGTTCTCATTATCTGGTCTTGACGGGCTAAAATCTCTCTCTTCATTTTTACTGCTTCATGTTTGAGCTGGCTGCACTCGTGACATTTCAACTTTCTGAAATCACACACTTCGGCTTGATGATAGAGCTTATCTCTAAAATTCAGGTCAGCAGTACAGCCCTCATTTGAACACTGCACGGGCCCGAATCCACATGTTGCCACATGATGTTTTAGTTGATTCAACTTCACCATTTCGCAGCATCCTCTGGCATAGTAATCACAATGAATATTCAGCTCAGATAAATAATCTTGTACAATCCGCGGAGCTTCATTCAGTGTATTGACACTGAGATGTTCAAGACACGTCGGGCAGAATGCAGACTTTGCCAAATGCTTCTTGATACACGAAGTGCAGAAATAGTGTTGGTTTTTACACATAACTGGTTCTCTCAGAACCAGAAGACAAATAGGACAGTAAAAACTCGGACTCACAACCGTTTCGAAGCGTATGTCTTCATAACCGAGCTCGTAATGGCCACCATTTGCCATAATTTCTTCGTCGTTTCTACAACTATTCTAACATATATTTTGTCCAAATTGAGAAGTGCCAACTCTACCAAGGCTAGCAGTTTACATATTGTCGATGCTGTTTCAAACACCGGCAAAAAAACGCGCTGTACTTGATTTTGAAATAGAATTTCGATTTTAAACTCGCTGACTGAAACTTGATATACTTGAAATGTTTTTGTATTTGCATAATTGAAACCATGTGATATTGCAAAATTATCTGTAACACTTTTAAAACACCTGTACCACGCAAGCCATGGTACAGGATATTAAGTTAGATAGGCCACACTAGAAACATGTACTACTTCTACTTAAAAACCTTATCCTGAACAGAAGACATTTAACCACTGATCAAGTGCAGTGCGTATTAAAAATGGAGTTCCACTAAGGCTATAAAGCTGTTGTGGTTTGTATGTGATAAGTTTTTTGTTCCGGTTTCAGGTTACTAGCTTCAGACACAAACCACGGCAGCTTATATGGCCGTAGAATTCTACCTGCACTGAACCCATAGGAATAATAGATATTATTAATATCTATTATTTTTATGACTAAACCCCAATTAGCTCCTGTTGGTCGCTAAAACCTTCTGTTCGGCAGATGATTCCTGCTATCATATATGTCAGTCGTTCATATTAAGGTCATGTTCACGAAGCAATTTGTGCTGCAAGTTCCAACGCAATTTCGGATACAGTCATACAGAGCCATGTTATCTAAAAAGTACTCGCATGGAAATTGTGAGCATGGCCTGCATTCCACTCTACCGACACTTTCTTCTCGTAACACACCCTTAAATTAAGTGACAAGAAAATGGGATAAAAAATGTCAGCAAAGTCAACTGTGGGCCATGCTCACCATTTTCCTGTGACTGCTTTTTAGATAACATGACTCTAGGTCAGAAATTGCGTTGCAAGTTGTAGCAAAAATTGGCTTTAGCTAAGGTTACCATCGAAACCCACCAATGAAATGTGCCAGCCATACTTTGCCTTTTGCTGATAAATAATTTTCCATCTCTTTCAGGATTAATGTGTAGCGTAGGAAAAAGTGCGAATAATCAAATTGTAGACGAGTTTGGAATCGGCTAATAGTGATATTGGACATTTTACTCTTTTGGTAAATATCAGGATTTTGGGCATCCCACTCAATGTAACGAATAGACCTTTCCCCTTTTGAGTGAAATTTTGGTCTAGACAAGTCTGGACAAAAATTTCATCACAGCTTGAAAGAGCATCACAAAATTAGTAATCTTCCGAAGTTTCGTTGCGAAATGTTGTAAAATGCGGATAATATAGCCTTGCGAAGTTTGCCGTTTTTCAGTCATTTTGCATTACAAACGGGAAATTGATAATCAGATGATCAAACTGATGGAAAATGTTAGATTGTAATGCAAAATGACTGAAAAACGGCAAACTTCGCAAGCTGTATTTTCCGCATTTTACAACATTTCGCAACGAAACTTCGGAATATTACTAATTTTGTGATGCTCTTTCAAGCTGTGATGAAATTGTTGCCCAGGCGTATCTAGATCAAAATTTCACTCATAAGGGCATTAAGGGGAAAGGTCTATTGTTGAAGAGATTTGTAGATCGACGTTCGAGTGGAATTTCCATCTACAGACCTCTTCAATAATAGACAATTCCCATTATAGACTAATTTTAGAACTAGGCAAGGAGATGCAAATAAATCACCACAGCTAGAAAGAGCATACTAAAATTAGTAAAATTGCAAAGTTTGGTTGCGAAATGTTGTAAAATGCAGAAAATATAGCCTTGCAAAGTTTGCAAATTTTGTATACTTTTGTATTGCGTGCGGAAATTCCTACCACGCACATTTGAGCCCGAATGTGGTAGGAATTCCGCACGCAATACAAAATGACTGAAAATTTGCAAACTTTGCAAGGCTGTATTTTCTGCATTTTACAACATTTCGCAACCAAACTTTGCAATTTTACTAATTTTAGTATGCTCTTTCTAGCTGTGGTGATTTATTTGCATCTCCTTGCCTAGTTTTAAAATTAGTCTATAATGGGAATTGTCTATTACCAGTATAGTTATACCACACCGGAATCGCAGGGCCGAAGGTTCGATTCCTGCATTGCATTTTTCCCAACTGCTCATTCCTAGTGAAATCCATGCTATGGAATTTGCAAATGCACCACGAAATCCATATTATTTCCATACTATATCCATAGTATGCAATTAATATGAAAATTGGATTTCCATACTATTTTCAACGGAAAAACCATACTATTTTCACAGTAAAGATTTGGAAAAATTTCCAGTGTAGTATGAAAAAAATTTCAATACTGCACTGGCATCAAAGGGTTGGCAGGTTCGATTCCTACCAGGGTATTTGCAGCAAATGCTGTTCTGATCATGTTAACGTCTACGAATTTAAATTTTACGAATTAGTACTGTAGAATATCTCATTAGAAAGGATAACTCGTAATATAAATAGCAATTTGTCAATAAATTACGTATTGGTAATTAATATTTACGTATTACTTTAACCACTGGTCATCGAGTTATAAAATCCACGAATGGTAAGGGAAATGTAACATTTCCCATGTGTTAAAAACTTGCTTGGATGTATATACCTCCAGGCTCTAATGTTTTGAATAAGAGCAATAAAACGAGGTAAAATGGCTACCTAGACCTAGGGCCTTTACTCGGCAGGTGGCACTTGATTTGCAGGTTAATTGACTTCAATGACATTACGAGGCAGGCCGAATTGCCTAGGTTCTAGTTTTCTCACATGAGAAAGGCCCTAGGTCTAGGCTGGTAAAATGGTATTCCCTAAATGGGAAGATTTCACAGAAACCTCAAACTTTCACATAAAATGGAACATCAAAGCTCTCTTCTTTTTTCTACTTCTGCAAAGTTTGGATGATTTAGCCTTTTGAATTCCTGGCTCAGCACCATCCTTGACATCCACCATCCAATTCATATCTTTACAATAATACATTACATTTATATTAAAACTTTTTACAATTTCTCTGCTGTTAAAACACACCAGTGTAGCTCCCAGAAGAGTGATCTGATGACTCAACAGACGATCTACTTAGCATCCTCTCATCCTGTGATACAGTACTTGGTAGTCTGTCGTACGACACAGATCGTCCTGCTCTGTTACTAATAATAACACCTGTATTCTCTGTTCTTAAAAACACGCTGAAGGGATTGTCTGTGTTTGTTGCACAGCCAAAATCTTCCAACAAGTCTTCAACAGTTTTCTCATCATATTTTCCATCAAGAAAATCGTCAATTTCTTCAACCGTCATTGGTGATTGTAAGAACAAGTGCAGACCGCTGAATGACAGGAACTTGTTGATATTTAGGACACTGAAAGAAATTTTAGTACATTAACACCTTCCCCTTGAATCCTTGATAAATACTTTTTTCAGCCATTAGATGGAGTATGAAAATAGGCCACATTGGGTTCTAGACAACACAATGTGTTGACCCATTAAGTTGCATTGTACTCTGAAGTGCCCAATACCACAGAATACTACACAGAAGTCCATCTCCTTTGTTTTTTGCATAAGCTCTATTTGTCATGATTCATCACTCAGTAAGTGCCGTAAACAGAAGCAGTCTCCCCCAGGAAATACTCAAAATGGGCACACATCCAGGGGGGTGACTGCTTCTGTTTACAGTACTTGCTGATTGATGAATCATGACGAATAGAGCTGACACAAAAAAACAAAGGAGATGGACTTCTGTGTAGTATTCTGTGCCAATACTTTCCCTTGACAAATAAAATTGTTTGGTGTTCAACAGAATAAAATGACAAAGTGGGGAACATTGGGCCACATTATGGCCTTCTGGAGGGAAGAAAAACTTGTTTCTGATAATAGTAAGTGTATTAGGAGGTTCGAAGAGGGTAGGGGGTTAACGACCAAGTTCCTCTGTGGGGGTGGTATGGATGTTTTCTGGATTGACTAAATGGACAAACTGTGTCATAAATCATCTGAATGATTTGTTGAGGAATACATACGTTTCAAGAAAGTGTTGTAGTCCTTCCTGTCGCATTGTCAAGAATGTGGGATGGAATCTTCCAATCATTTTCTTAGGCGGTAATTCTGGGACACTCCCCCTGCAAGGTAAACATACAAAGCTTGTAAACATACAAACACCAGGGCACCATTGGAAAACCCCCCAGCATGCCATGCTACCACTGGGAATACCCAGTGGTGTTGAGGTAGTGGGTATACACCATTATGCAATTAGCAATTTAGCATCCCTTTCCAGGAGACGTATTAACCTACACCATCCCAGATCAATCAGAAGCCACTGAACTTGGCAGGCTTACTGTACATAGCCTCCTCCACAGGAATAATAGACAGATTTAGATTGAGGATGATGCCATTTTCACGTCGTCTTTGACGTTTGCGTTCTCTAAATCTGTCTAATAACTCTCTTGTGGGCTTGCGTTGGCAACCCTCCCTCATCCGCAGTCACTTTATGTGAATGCAGGGGGGGGGAGAATCTTCCCATCATACATCAAGTCTTTTCCCAACCACTGATCTATATATATGCCACTGATATGTGCCAAAAATAAAATAGCCACAGCATTTGTATAATCCACAGCTGAAAATAAGAGCCTGAGGAGGAGGTAACCTATGAGACACATGTGGGTGAAGGAGGCCATGCTATTGCAGCTGTGTGTCTATTTAATAGGAATGTCTGCTCAAGGGAGGTGTCATTCATTTGGGATGGACTGTATTAAAACTTTTGACAATATTTTTAGTGTCATTCATAGAGGCGCTCACCTCACTTTTACATGGTTGTTATGATTGTGTAGCTATTTTTATGGATATAGTAAAAAAACATAGTGCTTGAAATCATGACTCATAATTCTTTTTGAGAAAAGAGTATTGAAGCATATGTATTAAGCAACAGCAGACAACTTTTGGGCTATTCAAGAAATATCACAAAGCATGTGAGTTGCGGTTTACAGAAAACATTTTCCCAGGCCCCCCATGGCCATCTGTGAATAAGTGGCTGTCTAAATGCAAAAGTGGCTGTCCGTGGCCTGACTCCCACTCAAAGTCAGTCAAAAGCCAAGGTGAAAATATTTTTTAATACTGTAATTCTACAAAGTATCAATGTTCTTTCTAGCTAAAATATATTGATTACTCATGAACGACAATTAACATGTAACGAGAAACTGGCGAATTCCCTTCTTTTCTGGCTCAAGTTTCCTGGTAACACAAATAGTGAAACTACGCAACGCCAACAGGTTACGCAACAGTGATCGAGATACACTGAATATTTAATTAAGTAAACATTTGGCTTCATTTTCGCCCCGAAACGCACTCACTTTCCTAAACCATTGACTTCGACACTCGCTAGTTGTCTTCTCAGCCACAAAAATTCCGAGAAACGTCTTCTTACAGTCGAAGTACGTCTTGAAAAAGCAATTTTGTTCGTCTAAAACAAAATACGTTGCATATCAATTTCAATATCACGTCGTCCTCAAAAGATAGGCCGCCTACATTCTCTACATTTTATAGTTGTACAAGCGTATATAACAAAAAAGTTAAGAATTGAAAATATATATGAATACCTCTATGTATATTTCATAATCTGTGTATTTTCCTTTGTCAAGATGTCTGTATGTTCTTGGGTAACGCACTTCCACCAAGAGATACTATATATATGCATTAACAAAATACACATTACGAAACATCGAGACAAGGAAGACAATGAGACTCGAATGATCCGAGAGTTTTCATGACATAGCACATCAACATGAAACGATAATAAATCATCGGCCTATTTCTATCAAACTTAAACCAAAAACTTCTATCTTACCTCTGTTTCCGAACGCATTTTACCGTTGAAGTTATGTTGTACTTTGTCACATAAAATGCCTGCGTGACCGAAATTTGGCGCTCTCGCATTTATACTGTGAATCGGTCCTCCTTCTCTGCTGGAATGTAATACTTCACACATTTGTTTTGCCCTTTTGTTAAACCTGTATACACATTTTACTTTTCGAAACAGAATGCGACCCTAAAAAGCGAGAGATCGGAGATGAAAGCAGGTTTGTAAGTATGATATTTTGTTTTCATACGTCAACAAAAGTCTGTGACGTTAGCGTGAAAAACTCGTGACTGAAGGTCAAACGCAATATCAACAAAGCGCGTGACATGCACAAGGGCGGCGGAATTATTTGCATATTTGGCAAAATTTCAAACCTTTCAAAGTTCTGAGAAAGTTGTGCGGTTTAGATTTACTAAGTAGATTTTTTGGGAGATTTGAATCTCGAAAAATATCTCGAGTGTGTGTGTGTCGGATTTTTTTCAAAGGCGTCAATTTGCAAGCCAGATCGTGGCAAGTTTTCGCATTCAGATTTCAGGAGTCGGTTCTTCGAAATTTGAAAGTGTTACAGTAAATTTCAAAACAATTTTCCCAGCAGTTTGTTTATATTATTCCCAAATATTTTTCCAGGAATGTTGTCTGGATCAGTTTTATTTTCCAAAGTTTTAAAACTAACCAAAGTTAGGCGAACGTGAGGTAGTTTTATGTCGGTTGATTTGTTCTCCTCCAAGCGAGAACTGCGTCATGCGAGGACATTTTCTTCCCGTCTGCGAAAAGGTTCCCATTGCTGGAACAACAGACCCAACAGGCCTTCGCTCGAAACGTCGAAATTTTCCTTATATTTTTCAGGTAGTTGCATGCTTGTAATAACTGAGAGTGAGAACTGGATTACTGGAAGCATGGATTATTAATAGTCTGTTAATAATGCCATGATATGGAAGTTAGTCAGATTGATAGATAGAGATTGTGAGAGATCTATAGCAGTGTTCTGTCATGTATGTATTACGCAACGATTGTCAAAGAAAGAACAAATTTTTAACAAATACTGTATTTAGATGCTCCTTTCATTTCTGTTTTTTTTTTCATGATTTTGACGCAGCTGGCAGCTGCTCGTTTTCAGGATTATGAATTTGCATTTCCATTGTAAGGAAACATACTGCACAAATGGCTTATTTTCAATAGACAAATTTGACGCCTCCAGAGCCTCGTTTTCGTGATTGACACGTTATGTCCAGTGGTTATGGCCCCGTTTACACTATACCGGATTGCTATCGGAGTGGTTCAAATTTTGTAGGTACGGAAAGGCTGTGAAGATTTTTAATATCAGAGACCCAAATAAACATGCCAATTCTGTCAAACTAATAAGCATTTGCTACTAACCATTGCTCCGTAACGACAAAAGAAGATGTCGTGACCAGCGA